AATAAAGCCTCATTGTACTTTTAAGGAGAGAGAGGAGAGAGATGCTCAGATGTTCCAGCACTGTGGTGAGACAGCCAAGCAAGCACCTCCACAGACAGAGAGAGCCAATGTCTACGAAGAGCAGCAGGCAGTATGTCTGCACAACGAACCAACTTGATGCCAGGCCTAGGCAATGTCACCCTGATGGTATTAGAGCATACAAGGCTCAGCCTCCAATGAACAGTACTGGCAATCAAAATTCAGCACTCTCAAGCTACCTACTTTAACTACACTGTCTGTGTGTGATCACCAGAAACCTTTCCCTCCCTCCTCCACTCCTAACATCACTCTAGTTCCGCAAAATACATACATAGTCATGTAATGAACAAAGGCAGATCAAAAATGCATGTGATAAAGACATTTTTTCCACCAAAACCATGTAATGAAGTTACAAAATCCCAGGTTATTTAGAAGCACCAATACATCCTCACTGGAATACAAAGACACCATTTATCTTGAGATGTTAAGTCAGATAATCTTTCACAATGGATACTCTGCAGACTGCACCATAACATATTTGTGTAATATAGAATCACAAAACCTGTACAGTAACTAGTTGCTTAGTTGCACAAAATGGACTAAGAAAGTCCACTGAAAAGCTGGAAAATCAACCCAGACTTACTTCACAGATAGAGATGATTTGTTGATTTTCTTCCCTACCCGCAAAAAACATCACGCACAAATTTTCAGAAAAAAAAGCAGTTAAGTTGGCTCTAAGCCTGTTAAAGTGGTATAAAGTTTATCCTATATATTATAGGGCAACTACAAACCACATAATACAAATAAAGTAACTGCTTCAATTATTGAGGCAAAATGTAGGACTATTTTAAACAGTATTTTTAACCCACTCAAAGGCTAGAAAACATTCAAAAAGTGGGGTACGTGTTTAAATAAAGCCACGCATAATTCACCTTCTCTGAAGAGAAATTTGAAGAATAAAATTCAAGCGTATGATTTGATTTAGTATACAGTCAATTTTTCTTCTTGCAAAATGGCAAGAACTTGATATCAGAGAAGCTATGATAACAACTACCAGAAGGAAAAATACTTCTTTATTCATTGAAACTCAAAAGAAATAAATGACCACTCTGAAAGTAGATATGATACAAGATCCAAACGTCAACCAAATCATCAATCCTGGTTCAACAAGGTTGACAGGTCCTCAGTTGATAGCTACTTACATCCCTCACTAATGCTTCATAATCCAAGTAAGTTGACCTTTTGCACGTAAGTCTTTTTAGAGACATGGCAGACTGACTACTTATTGGCTAGTTGGATAGGACTATTGCTTTAGCTGACTGCAAAACATCTGGATGACTTTTTGCCATTATTAATCAGCTGGTGCATTTCAAGATAAAGTCACTTTTGCAACATTAAACGCAAGTTCTTCAAAACTCCAACACATGACACTCTTGTAAGCAGTACCATATGTGTGCAACTAAGAATGTATTATTTGCATAGTATCAATAGCATGCTAGAAACCTCATCGTAGCTTTTTGAGATGCATCAGCAGCAATAAGGGTAATGGCAGAAAAAGAACCAATGGAAAATGATTGCAGATTAGAACTGAACTGTTGTGTTAGAAAGTATGATCAGAAATAAAGCAGTATTTTAGCACTTGTATTCCAAAAGTCACCCCATTGTTCCCGGTGTTGGTGGCAACACTTTAAGAAGGATGCTGATAAACTGGAATGAATTGTTAAACTCCTCCACCCCCTGTCCGGCCATCCCTGCCCCACCCCCCACCCCCAAAAAAAAAAAAGAACCTACAACAAATCAGAGTAATCTGAGGTCTGGAAAACATGCGTTACAATGCATAGGAAAAGGATTTCAGATTATCCAGCCTACTATTTCTCAAACTTTCTGAAAGGACAAACTCTTTTTGGCTCCTGGGGCTTAAACAGTAGAGAGTTTTAATGACCAAGAACTTAAGGAAGGAAAAAAAGAACATTTTGAAACTCTGAATTTCATAGATTTGTATGATTTTATATATACATATGTATATATGCACGTATATATTTTTCCTCTTTTTTTTTTTTTTCTTCCATCACTTGTTTCATTACACTCCTTACTAAAGCAGTTTGATCCTGCTTGAGTGTCCCTGTGAGCCCCAACAGTGTCACAACTGAGCATAGGAAAACGCAAATGTTACTTATCACAGAAAAATCATTAGATCATGATCCATTGACTATTTGCATGGAATAAGGGTACTGACAATAGTATGCTGTCAGCTGTAACTAAAAAGGGTAGGAATAGAAAGCATTGTTATTATTATTATTAATTAATCAACAGAAATACAATTATTCGCATTATATTGCTTCATGTGCCAATACAGGTCAGGATTTTCCTGAAAAGACAAAGAAATAACAACAGGGAAGTTCCTGTCTCATAAAACCTGAATTTTTAAGAAAGATAAAAGATGACAATCAGAAAGGGCAAAGTTAAAAAAAAAAACCAAAACAAAAAAACCCCAAAGAGTTTGGCATAAGTAAAGGTGAACAGAGACTACCTGATGCCTAGCTATGGTCAGACTTGTTTTCAAAGAGGAAAGATTTAAGAATGGTTTCAGGGACAATAATGAAGTAACTTTCTGAAGAACTTTTCCTAAGTCTGCAGCTCTGTAACACAGTAACTGTGTCTTTCAAAAAAGACTATTTAAGAAAAACAGATGATAAAAGTGGTATAGCTGAGAGAATAGGTCAAATGATTCCTGCATCAAGCTATTCAATGGCAGCAAAATATATGAATCTCTTCCTGTCTTAAATCAATGACTCTACACCTATGACTAGGCAAAATGGCTGGTGCATCACTTTTAGGAACCTTATTTTTGAAGTGAATGAATCTCATGCCTAACTGAATTGAGAGAGATCTCAAAACCAGCCACATTTCAATAACTTGCCTATACAGATTTGCTATACTGGTTTAACAATATTGATTCAGAATCTATACAGTACATTTACAGGACAAATTAGCAACAGTATTACCATCACAGATAACCACTCCAACTTGCACAAACAGCATCCCTGTCTTTCTCTGCTTCCCACTGGAGTTACTCATATTAACTAATTCTTCTACTTCAAGACTACCAATTTCCTTCTCTTTCTGTGATGGTCTAATTCTCGAATCCGAGTAAATTGCCTAACAATTATACTCAAATTCTATTTTAAATATTCTTGCACTTTGAATATTACTGCTTCTATTTCAGATGTGGTGAACTCCTTATACACTAGAAAGCTTGTCTTGGAAAGCTTGTCTTTTTTTTTTTTTTTTAAATTATACTAACAGTTGATAGAATAAAAGAAAGTCCTCCCCTCTTCTTTTTTTTTTAACAGAATCAAGTTGTGTGAATGAAAGAATGGCCTCTACACCTTTTAGAGTTATAGTGTGTTCATTATACTGCCTTCTCAAAGGATTTGCAAAAAGCTAAAGATACATACACATCAGCCGTTAAAACTCAGCACTGATGACTGACACCAGGACTGCAAGCATATTTATTTCAGGTCTCTTAATGCAATTGTCAAACTTCAAATCTAGGAGGAAGGAAAATTCGTTCCCTTCCAGATTTTTTTTTTTTTTTTTAAATTTTGTATTTGCCTTCATTTCTTCATTGCCTTCCCCCATCTTCCATTTTATTATGTTAAATTTTACTTTGAGCTATCTAGGACACGAACACATGACTAACATCATGCTGCCTGTACTCTACACATCCTTAACAACAGGCCACATTTTCTACTCAGTTCCAGAAAGTCTGCAAACCCACTGCATTCGAAATGTTATTTATACAACTGCAAGAAACAGATAGTGCTTGGTACATTGAAAGCAGATTCCAGAATATAGCTAGGCAACAGTCCAGGTTTAAAATCTAGAATTGCATGGCTAAGTGTCCATGTAAACTCATAGGCAAGATTCTGCTCCTATCAAGTCACTTTACCGTCATGTTATCTTCATGATGTTACACTGATCTTTCAGACTGAATAACCATATATGTAGCAAGGAAAAGAACAAGTACTCAGAGTATTTTATTGATGAAAAATACTAGAGAACACCAGGTTCCCAAATCAATTCATATAAGACACAAAATGGAGCACAATTATGTAAAGAACTGGAAACTGCTTCCAATGTTACTGGTTAGCAAAAAATCCTTCCCAAACTCTTGAACACTGGGAAGTAACACAGCAATTAAAAAAGCAGTGACCTGAGGGTGAGGGGAGCAGGAAGGATGAGACAGCCTAAAAAGCCAATGAGTGAAGCTATGATTCTTCATTTGCATTTCAAGAAAACTTCCCAAGGGAGAAAAAACCAAAACAAACAAAACAAACAAAAAAAACCCCCACTTGAGGTAAGATTTAAAACTGCTGGTTTTGTTCTTCCCTCACTCCTCCATATTTTATTTCTGAAAAATTCTGTTGTTTGTTGTTTCAGTTTGAATATATTTCACTCACCTAAAAAACCCAGTTAAGTTCTGAGTTACCAGAAATAAAGGGTTCAAACTCAGAACTTAACTGGCTATTAGGTGGATGAAATACACTCAAACTGGAACAATGATTTACACAGAAATGTCCCTTTCTGAATCCAGTGAACTCAAAGGTTTATTTACAGGGCTCCAAATGTTTAAATTGTACCACTTCTACTTAACAAATACAGATCAAAGGCTGTTAACTTTGGAGGAAGATTTAAGGAAAAGAAGTTACCTACTGAGAAGGTAAGAACTCTTCTTAAGAAAAACCTTTAACTAAATAACTAGGGGTCTTTTGTTTGGTTGCTTTTTAAAATTATTTTTACAATATGAATATTCATAATGTATAATGAAATACCGTGAATATAAATAAAAGCCAGTCACAAATACACACAAATTACTATGTGCTGTACATCCAGGAATAAAGTGGAATGATTTGAAAGCAGCAGAAACGCAAGGAGGCCAAGCATATCAGTGTGAGGGCAAAAAGAATGGTGTGACACACCTCACTGCAGCATTTCTGGAAGCATCTCTCTTCCCCTTTCACTTCCCGTGACACTATCAGCAGATACTCTGACTGCTGGGCCCGGCCACAGCTGTACTGGGAACCTATACTGACAAGCTGAAATAACCAATCAAAGCAAAACACAAAAAGAAACCTTTGTAAAGCTGAAGCACATACCGTTATCCAAATCGTACAAATAACAGATGAGCTCAAACGTTCAGGTAACATTTACTTGCCACTAGAACAGCTTGCTATCAAGCTACAACCTTCATTTCAACATACTTAAAATTTATGGAGGCAGTTGCAAAGCCCTTTGTAATTTCAAGGGAAGTTAAGAGTTACTGATAGTAAGTCAGAAAACTCCCCATATCACTGTGGGATAGCCAACTACTCTGAAAAACATAAAGTTTGGTGCATTATGAAAATGAGCATTATTTTCCTGTCATACTTGCCAAGTGCAGAAGGTAACATGGATATAAAACTGGAAAGTGTTATGTAAAGCAATGTATCAAGCCTGGGTATGAAAGAGCTTCATCTTGTTCCAGATATGGATAAACAAAATACAGCTAAGGAAACATATGAAGTCAACTAGAGGAAAAAAAGTTGAGTGCTCTAAATTGGTTTTAGAAGGGGTAATTTACAGAAGATCCAAGAAAATAACTGGAGTGGAAAAAATGGTCTGTCTTGTTCCCATAAAAATCAGTACCAAGAACTCTTTTCACACTTGCCAAACATCTCATAATTCAGAAGTTCAGAACAACCTCAGCTAAATTTCTCAACATGTTATTACAGAAAATATTTTATCTTAATAATACATGACAATTCCTAACCCATTTAAATTAAAGCATAGCCTGTCAGTGCACTTGAGAAAGATTAGAGCTTTAAATTAAGTGTGAAGAACTAGACAACAACTGCCTATTCTGCGTAAACTAGAGATTACTACTGATGAGAAAGCTCATGAAGAGTAAATTTATTTTTATCCTGCTATTGTTATGAATAATTTTGAAGGCAGCAGCTAAATACCGTCCTCCTCATATAGTGAACAGCATTGTGGTGACAGACTCAGGTTACATTAATCATTAAAATTTACATGACTGACACACCACCGCTGTCTAAAGCCTTTGTACGCAGCAATTTTGTATAGCCCGAAGTTTCTCATTATGCAGTATTGCCAAAACATTGTTTTTCCTGATTGCCTGAAGAGGTAACAATTGAAGCTAAAAATCGCATTCAAAATAACCCACTAAAATCACAAAAGTGGGGCAGCACAACTATTGGCAGTAGTTTTTGGACTGGGACTGATACATAATCACAGTATTCTAGCAGCGCTTTCACTCATATCCTTTGGAAAAGTGCATCAATACATCCGCGTAAGTGCACCAGAAGTTAAACACCTTTTACTTCTATTTAATCACCACATTCAATTGTATTTTACAAGAAAATTTTGAAATGTTAAGGAGAAAGAAATATTTTTGATCAAAACCAACCACTTAAACATGTTATATGGGGCACAGAGCACAAGGACTCTCAACCCATAGGAATATTACTCCTCTGAAAAAGCTGATGATTTCTATCCCAACGATGATAATATGTACAAAGCATGGTAGGTGCCACCCCAAAGACTGCTTCTTGAAGGCAGCATGCTGCTGAGCAACACAGGTTTAGAAAAAATAAAAAATTACAGAAATGCTACAGTGTTCTCAAATCTTAACAGTAAAACTGTTTAGATTATACAGAATATTCTAATCATGTTTCAAGTGAATGATGTCTGCTAAAAGCAGGTCTGTAATACAACCAAAGGAAAAAATGGCCTAGTCTGAGGTAATGAGAAGCTGAGTATTATGGGACCATACAGCCGTTGTGTTTATCTACTTCAAACCATGTGTCCAAGAGAGAGCAACATTGGGGAGGGAGGAAGTAGGGAGAAAGCTGGATGAAACAAAGATATAACGTTCAAGAAAACCACTGGAATTTTCCAGTTCTAAAGGAGATTCTAAATTCTAAAAGACATTATAATAGTTCTTTCAGCAATTGCACTGTCAAAGCAGTATTACACTCCAAAGAATACAAGGCTTTAGGACAGGTAAAAGCCATAGTATCATTTAATCTGTTAAAAAGTAAAAAAGCTCTATTTGTAACAAAAGCTAGTTTCTCATGACAAAGAAGAATGTCAAAAAAACCTTTGTCAATGCACTGATCAGAAAAACAATCATGTGCATTAAGTGAGAGCTTTTTTCAGGGACTTAAACAACATTCAGCTTCTGGCATACCAAACAGACCTGGTAATACTTGAGCCAGAGAACTGAAGCATAAGAAGCTTTCTCTGTGCTCGTTTAGTTTATTTGATCGTGGCTGTCTCCATGACACCAGCACCTTACACATTTCATCGAATATAAACAAAATGTTCTCTTTTACCTTCGTGTGCTGTACTTTTTAAAAATGTTGCTTTGTTGCGTTATTAGAGTGAGACCGGGCAGGATAAGAGGCTTGTGCTTATTCCAATCTCTCCTACAGTTGGCACCAGACATTGAAAAAGATGCTGGCAGCTGAGCACTTGTGTCTCACTCCAGAGTTAACAGATTCATTGCTCCAATGCAGTTTAAATATGCTGGTAGGTTGGGAACGTGAAGGATGAAGAGGCCACGTAGTTAGTTTCTTATTTACAGAGATTAGCAAAGATAACAGAAAGATCTTCTTCCAATTTTACAATGTATTCTTGAATGTACACACAAAGCTATTTTTATGCAGTGCAAAGAATGAAAACATACACGTAGCTCACACCTATCCAGCTTCACATCCATGCTGGTTAAGTTCTCCCTCCTATCCATATCAGTCCTTTATCTGAAGAATCATTGTTTAGGCCTGACAAACATTTATCTCCCAAGCTCACCTCTTTTACCCAGAGCTCTTTATATCTGACTACCATTCGTATAAACTTGTATTAGTTAATTTTGGTTTATTCACCCTTCAAATGCTTGTGTGTAGACACTGAAGAATTACATTTCAAACATGATGTAAATGTTTTCATAGAAAGTCAGCACAATTTACTTCCTGGAAAGCTACAGTTTTTTTGTTCTCTGACAAATAACAATACAAATATCAAATTTTAACTTAACTGTGTATCTTTATCTATCCAATTTCTGAAAATGACTGCACTTGAAAAGATGCGTACAGTTGACTTTATACTCCTCTGTCACATAACTAAATTTTTAGAAGACTTTGTAATTATATCCTATATGGTTTTTTTACCTGTTCAAATTTCCAGCCATCGGACATTGTGGAAACCATTTGAGTGAGTTCCTCTTCCTGGCACTGCAGCACCCTGTACACATGTTTGACTGGCACCTTCAAGAAGAAATATAAGATGCTCAACACAGCATGGAATTCACTATGTTTGTGACTTGTGTAAAGTTGCCCTTATTCTTTAGAAATGGTAAGCCACACCACCTTGAACACCTTGTCTTTTTTTTTTTTGTTTAAAGAAAACTGATGTGTTCAGAATCACCTTGCAGAAGACTCCATGCTTCATGAATGTTTCAGGGACTAAAAGTGCTACTGAACAGTTGTAACAAAATAATCTTAAGACTTACCTATCGTTCCATGTGGTAGCAAACCACATCATTCAAAAATCAAGGTTGAAGTTCTGCAGAAGCCTACCTAACTTTAAGGAATGTCTGACCATATTCAAAAATGTCTTTATTTTCCTGTCAAAGTTTCCCATCCAGAGCAATGAATAACTAGGACCACTGAAGTTGAAACCCTTTAGAAAATGCTATCAGAGCAACTCTGCTATCCCACAACCCAGCTTCAAGAGAAATTTGGCAATGTGAGTTTGTAATATCTCCATGAAGACTCAGTTATCAGGGAAGGCCAGAGTAGCAGAGTTAAAGAACAAACTTGCATACTTTCTTTACATAACAGTTTCTCTATCATATTCACTTTCATGAAGAAATATTCATGAGCTGCTATGAGAAGAGGCACAGTCTTCCCAACTACAGAGCACTACAAATAAAGAAACTAACTTTGCTACAAAAGCGTATGACAGGAGCAAAACAGCATCTGTATGCATGCTGTATAAACATACCGTATAAACAGCAGTTATACCGTAGTTAGGCAATCTCATCATATTCAGAGTATTTAGATGTATATGAGAAAAATATATTCTACAAAAGCTGTTTTCTAAAATAGCTATTTCCAGAAATGGTATTATGACAAATTCTACTATTAACAGACATTTTTCAACAATTCTTTAGAATGTTTTCAGTTTTTGAACAAGAACTGGAACTATACGTCTGTGCCCTTTGTAAGCAGACTGGCAGGTACTGGCAGTTAAGAATATTAATCTTTGCGTACCAATGGTTCCAGCTCAGTCAGTGATGAAGGCAGCCATTCAGCATCTTACTGGGGAAATGAGCAGTTAAGGAAAAAAAAACGGAACCCACCCACTACTTGCCATAGAACAAATAATCAAAAACACACCAGAAAACAGCCTCACCTGTGAGATTTTGCTGTCTCTTTCTCTTATTTTGTCCTTTACCAGTTTTATTAGTGATGTGATATTGTAGAATTCAGCCTCTTCCAGTACACCTAGTATGAGAACATTTTTTGGAAAGAGAGTGTAACCAAAGATTCCAGGCCAAACCCACCAACCAGCTCCTTATCTTCTCTACAGCTATACAAAATGACTTATTTTGCCCTAGGAAAAGTTCATTTACCAACCTAACGATTCTGGCTTCCTTCAGGCATGTGTAGTTCAAAGTTTAGCTCATTCTGAAAAACTGTCCTAAAAAAACCCCGAAGAAAACTGATGCCATTTCACATACAGAATGAGAGGCAGGAAACAAAAAAAAAGGAGCACAAATGCCATTCCATAGCAGACTGATGGACGACCATAGCTCAGGCCCCGCCTCAGGCTGGAATAGGAAACAAATTCAAATAGTCCTACTGAAAAGCTCTGCAGCTGCTAGTGTGCAGAGAAGTTTTCTTCCTGTCATTTGACATCTTACACCCTGAAACAAAAGCTTAAAGATACATACTACAGACTGCTCCCACTCACATGTTCAAGCCTTACCTGTTCTCCACACATACTACGTGTTTAACAATGCACATGGAAAATATATTTCACATTATTTACTGCTAATATTGTTAGACTGTATTTCTCTTTGGTCGATTTCTTCAATACCTTATCAATACAATTTTAGTACTATATGGTTTAAAACAGTCATCCTCCATTAGGGTAAAATTGATATGAATTGGGGACAGAGAGGGAGAAGCTGGGGGCAGAATTTACTCTTCAAGAGCATATTCCACACATCCGAACACCCCAGAACTTAACTCTTACTTCACTTTACATCTTGTAAAGCTTGTTTCACAGCCAGTATTCTTTTGCCTGAAGAGGACTAAACTCAAATATTTCAGAGTCATACAGGACAGACACAAGATTATACGACAAAAGGCATCTCCCCTCATGTTTGAATATTTATGTTCTATTTCTAACAGTGGACAGTGGTTGTGAAATCAGGAATCATACTCAAAACACTCAAATAACAGCATATACTGTAACCCTGTGATACCTATCAGCTTCGCTTGAAACAGATCGAAATGCTACACTGATTAAGATTTACCATCTACTTGTAAGTTACTTTTGGTGACTCAAAAGCAGCAAAAATAATAAGCAAGTGACAAGAAAGCAAGAGATTTAGTAACATCTTACCTTCCTCAGCTAGGTCCTTGTTAATAACCAGTTTTCCATGTCTGAGATAGTTCAGCACTGGCCCAAAGTAGGTCGGGTCTCTGTCTATTAAATAGGCACCTGTTTCATCCTAGATTAGAAAAAAAACAAAAAAACCCAAAAAAACAAAACAAAACACCACAAAAACCCCCCAAACAAACAAACAAGCCAAAAAAACCCACAGTGATTTGAACAGGATTTGAATGATTTGAACAATGATTCCAAGCAGGAATTGCAAGCTAATATTCAGGTTGGCATCTGAATAGCAAGCAGGTATTCATACATAGCCACATCCCTTACAGCCAAATTTATTAAAAACATTAAAAGGAATTCAACAACGTAGTTGTAATTGTATCAGACTGTCGTGGTTTAACCAACCACGCAGCCGCTCACTCACTCCCCCCCGCCCAGTGGGACGGGGAGAGAATCGGAAGGGTATCTCAACATTCTCCTCATACTAAATCCAAAACACAGCACTAGCAAGAAATTTAACCCTATCCCAGCCGAAACCAGGACACAGACTGATCACTCAACTCAGTCATGTACTACACAACTTCTCTTACTTGACCAACTCCCCCAAACCCCTTATCAAAAGATTATCAACATTGTTAGCATGAAAGATCTAAGCAGTAAGTGAGAACACTAAAAATTAAGGTGAAAAATAACACTTAAAAATAGGAAATTATCATTTTGTTAGGAAACCTGAAGAATCAGAACAAAGGCTACATTCCAGTGAGGTTCAAATACCAGCTTTTTTTTTTTTTTTTTAAACTTAAAGGCAAACAAACCTACCTTCTCTTTAACCTCAACACTTTGTTCTAAAAACTTTTGGTTTTGTCTTAGCTCAGATGTACAAATATTCACAGGGTACTAAGAACAGCTGCGTAGCAAACAAGGCTTGTAGGTGCATCTTCTAAAAAAAAAAGTATACTGAAGATGCAGTTCCTACCTACCTCATGCTGACAAAGAAGGGATAGATCAAACTAACTAATGCTCAGTTTACTGAACAGAGTACAGCATTTTGTGGAACGCAAAACACAGTTTAAGAAATTTGCCTGCATAGCTGATACTCTTGACAAAAAGATAAAGGAGCAAAATTGATATTTCCTACATAGAGTCTGTATGTGAACACCTAGGATCAACGCAGTACTGACATACTTTGTGCTAGCCAGAGGTCTAAGGAAGACTGATAATACAGATGTCTAACAGATCCACTGCTCCTTTCTACTATCAAGTGGATCACTGACAGTATTAACCCTTTAGTACCTAAAGTTTTAGTGCAACAGATATCCTACAGATATATACTGGAAAGATGTGGCAGCACCCCAAATACTTTTAAAATTTATTCTTATTTTTAATATTCTAGTACTTTACAGGAGATACTAAAAAAGCATCACTACCAACAATCCTAGCTAAATTTGAATCATTATCCCCCAAAACTACATGTGATAGTGATACTTCTTGTTCCACATGAAAAAAATTCTACTGACCCAATTGTTTGCATTTGGACATTAATGCTGATATGTAAAGGTTTATTACTGAACTGTGATACCTGAAAACTCTCTCTACTTAACAGTATCTAAAGTTCCTAAAATGTTTCATTGGAAAAAAGATGGTGGATGTATTTGCAGGTACATGGATTTAGTTTCTGGATAACTGCACTTGTCTAACCAGGGCTAGTAGAATGTAGAAAGACCACAGCCTGAACTACAAAAACCTCTTTCTATATTTACAAGCTAAATGCTTTACACACCTAGACACACTGTCATTTTAGAAGAAGTGAAGGGGTGTTATATTTTATATAAAATTAACTGTTCAAGAAAATGCTAATATATTAAAATATGCTGTCAGTTAACCTACACTCAGAGCAGAAAGTGCTTGATGAAGTCTAATCACAATTTCTTCTGACCTAAACTCATGGTCTCACAGAACTGAGACTATGCATGAATAAATGAAGTGCATAAATTGGTATATTTTTAATGTTTCACATTTAAATATATTTACATTACCAGAACACTTCAATGAACAATCTACAGATACAACCCAAAGAAATTAAATTAGCTGACAACTGCATGAATTATAAGCTGAGAAGTATTATTTAATACAGGAACAAAAACCAGTGAAGTTGGAAAGGAAGATCTAAAACTGATAAAAAGAAACACTGTTTTAAAGAAAAAAAGCACAGTTTTTGGTCATCAGTTGAACTGAATTAAGAAACATACGGGGTTACAAAACTGGAAGTCCTCCCAGTTAAGGGAAAAAAGTCTCTAGAAACAAGCTTCTTTAATGAGATTATTGTATTCTTTTACACTACAGTGTTTTCTTACATCACCCTCTGAAGCAATACTGGCCACCAGCTCTACACCATTACAGAGATAGACAGGTAGATCACAGAAGCAAAATAACTAAAAGCTCTAAATGAAATCTCAAGTAACAATGAATGGTTACTTTTTTTTTTTTTTTTTTTAAACAGACTACGGTATCTGAAATTACTCTTACCTGAGTAGATTTCTATATACTAAACAAGCTTCCAACAAAAACACAAAGGGAACAAGCTATGCCAGGTATTCTCTTTTAACTTCCACCTAATGAGAGGTCACCAGCAACCTGTATTACCTGAATTCATTAGCCTAGCATGCACATCAGAGCTTACTATTAGCACTTGTACCAAACATGCTTTACACATACTGACAGCATCCAGCCTGTGAAACATAAGACAGAACCGCTTTTGTCTTCTACCTAGTTTTAACTATTTTCCTCATCATCCACAAACTTTTTTTTTCCATTCTATCGTTCCTCATCTCATTTTTTTCCTGTTATACTCATTCCTAACCACTATCAAGTTTTCTTCCTCACCAAATTACCATCTAGAATGTATAAAAATGCTTAATCTTCACATTGATAAATACAAATACCATACCAAACATATGTATAATACGCCACATATGAATAAAGTGCCATCTCACTAGGGTCTTAGTTTACTCTATGAAGCCTTTCAGGCAACAATGTGTCTTCAAAAATCGTAATTAAAAAAAAGGAACCTAAAAGTCTTATAATTTATGGTGTAATAGTAACTTTTTTCTTTTTTACATTAGTAAATATCAATAGTTAAAGAACTCTGGTTAAATTCTAACAGTGAGCAATTAAAATTCTGTCAATAGGATTCACTGTAAATTCCATGCAAAATTATGAACAGACTAAACAATTCAGAGTAACTGGCCACTGGCTTACCCAGATTACAGATATGGAAAACATGCATTAATTAACATTATTCTAAAGAGAAAGATGTGTGTCTTGGATTTTGACCTTACAACTCAGGTGTGCTACAGACTAGTGCCAGGGAGTCAAGAGCCAAAATGTAAACCATTCAGTAAAGAATATTGTAACAATATGCAAAGAATGCACAGGCAAAAGAGGCACAAAATTGACTTCCTAGCATCTTCCTATAGAAAATGCTTTCTCACTCCTCCTTTAGAGCGAGCTGCCTGATTATCCTTCAACGTACACTAAGCACGTCATGTTGAAATCACTAAGAAAAGCCGATTACACTAGATATTTAAGGATATTTATGTAAACATAAATCCAATAAAAGCTGACGCAGTAATGTAGTCAACTGCTCCACCTAGAACTCTCAAAATACGGGTCGTAAGTCTTTCCACGCTTTCAGAATATTGTCAGGATTGGCTTCATCCACATGTACATGAAAACACATTGTATTCTCATGTGTGATTAGCATTTTGGACACTCTTT